TGGCATTCACCAGGGAACACTAGAAATGGCAGGTCCACCACTGGCGCCCTGTTCTCTTCACAGATGAGAGCAGGTTCACACTGAGCACATGTGACAGATGTGAAAGAGTCTGGAGACGCCGTAGTGAACTGCAACCTCATCCAGCATTACCGGGTTTGTGGTGGTGTGGGGAGGCGTATCCTTGGAGGGTTGCACAGACCTTGAGGTGCTAGCCAACGGTACCGGGATGAAATCCTCAGAGCCATGTCAGACCTAACGCTGGTGCACTGGGTCCTGGGTTGTGTTCCCCAGACCTGAATCCACTTAAGAACCTCTGGATCCAGGAGCTCACTGATGGCCTGATCCAGAACACCCTCCACCGTCTCATCAGGAGCAGCCACGTGGGTTCGGGTCGGATCAGTCTGGGATTTTAATCTTTTACTGATTATCGTTTCCATTGATCGTTGTTAAATCATTTTGTTCTAAACATATTACACAATGTTGTACGGTAAAGATTTTAAACGTAATTATTTTGATTTAAGTGTTCCCTTAATTGTTTTGAGCAGTGTATAATATTGATATATAAGGTATGTATAATCTATGAATATATATATAAATATACTACATATTGTAATACTAATATATGTATATCTTGAATTTCCCTCGGGATAAATAAAGTATCTATCTATGAATATATATATAATAATACTACAGTGCAGAAATACTCCTGTCCTGTAAAGTCCTGCATTCAAATATTTATTTTAAAGAGAAAGAAAATATTAGCTCATTATACAGAATATGTTATATATGATATTATTGGATTAATATATAGAACTAATGATGTAAATACAGAATATATTCATTAATCATTACCTCTGATACATACTAATACTAATGTTAATGTTAGTTGTGAAGATGTGACTATATATGATATTATAAATATATATATTTATAATATTTATCTTTTAACCATCTTCAGAATGTGCTTGTCTTCTCATTATAGATTAGCCTAGCATATAGCATATGTAAGTAGAGGAAAGGAGGAAGGGTCAGTTATTATAGATTCATATTTAAAATAAATCACTGCATCGTCAGTAAATGAACAATAACTTTCATTTTATTTATTCTCACACAAACATTTGAACATTACAGATAAAAAGAATCTGTTTTATTACGAGAGTTAAAGAATAAAAGCACCAAAGTTTCCTTTAAAGAAACTCAATCTGGTTACTGCGACAACACAACGTCTTCTTCTCTGGTAGAAAATACAACAACACAACGTCTTCTTCTCTGGTAGAAAATACAACAACACAACGTCTTCTTCTCTGGCAGAAAATACAACAACACAACGTCTTCTTCTCTGGCAGAAAATACAACAACACAACGTCTTCTTCTCTGGTAGAAAATAGAGCATCAGTTGAATATAAAACACAATCAAAGCTGTCTAATAATTATTAATGACAATATTAATAACTACACTGATAATGTGAATATCACATGACCTCTCAGTCCCCTACAACAATATGTGCTTTTAAAGGACCGTACTGCAGGTTTACAACCTGGATCAGTCTGACCGGACTCTGTCAGAGGTATCTGGGTGTGAGGTGGAGGACCTGCAGACCTCCACAGTCCTGCTCCTCCGTCAGAGAGTCCACTGAACTCTCACAGCTGGAGTTTGGTGACAGCGCCCCCTCCAGACGGTCCTCCAGGTCCACGCTCCCCGCTCGGCCCCGGGGGGCTCCCCCAGGGCCCTGGTCCATCGCCAGCCGGTCCAGGAAGTTGATGTACCTGAGAGCCAGGCGCAGGATCTCGTTCTTGCTGAGCTTCCTGTCGGGGGGGTGCGTGGGGATGAGACGACGAAGCTCGGCGAAAGCTCCGTTAACGTTCTGCTGCCGCCAACGTTCCCGACTGTTGGTGGAGACCCGACGGACGACCCGGGGACGAGAACCTGAGGGGGGACGAGGGAGAGGACGGGGGTCAGTTCTCTGGAGGACTCCTTAAATCAGTGTTTTTCTCTATGGAGTCTGGTGTATAAAACCAGAGAGACTAAAGTGTTTGATCAGTTATGAACGGACGGAAATAGAAATTCAGCGACATCATGTGCAAAGATATTAGCAACAAACAATCAATTATTAATGAATCTATTAATCTATGAAATATCATTTTATACACAAACTCACTATTGTGTCGACACACTTGGGCCTCCGTACAGTCATTGATCTCACGGGGAGCCGATCTCATCAGGATGCATTGATCAGGATCACTGCAGAGAGACAGGCAGACAGACAGACAGTGAGACAGACAGTCAGACAGACACACAGACATATATATCATTTCATAATAATAACATTTGAATATTGATTGAGTGCTGTGGTCCGGTACCTGGTCCAGGTGTTGAGGTGCAGCATGTCTCGTGCAGGCAGTGGAGGACTCTGCAGACCGGGTCCGGGTTCAGCTCTGACGGGGGTCCGGAGCTTCAGTGTCGGTCTCTTTTATACCGACCCGCGTCCCTCTCCGCGTCTCGTGACGCGTCGTTTCCATGGAGACCCCATCAATAAAGACAGCCCCATTAACAGGAGACAGACCGGGTCCCAGGAAGCAGCCCCCCAGAGACCCCCAGAGACCTGCAGGGACCGCCCTCTCCCTCCCCCCGCTGGAGTCGTGTTTTCCGGAGTCTTGTCCTCCTCACGACCCGGACCGAGACCCAGACCCGGACCGAAGCGACTTTCTCTCGTTTAACTTCATAAACAGTTTATTTAATAACTTTATTCCTCCACAGATCAATCATATTAAATATAATCAATAATAATAATAATTCTAACACGTGAATGAATCAATAATTATAAAACAATCATTTCAGATTAAACTGTGTGAAATGTAAAAAGTGAATAAAATAATACAAATAAAATCATATAATAAATAACAAATAATAAATAAATATATAATCAGAACTTTTAATTTGAACTTATTTAAAATGTGTTCACAGAATTTGTCTGAATAAAGTCACTTAAATGAATCTTCTTTATACGAATGAAAAGTTTAAATGTTTAGAAAGTTCAATTATGACATCACCATAAAAACTATTGATGATTTATTGATTATTATTATTATTATTATGGAATTGGCAGCTGATTCATTGTCTGTGTGTTTATGTGACAGTTCAATCTTTTACACTTTGGATGATCATTGCTTATGATGATTGATACAGTGAAATAAAATGCTTCTTTAAAGGATTAATGGACTTCATTTATATTTATTATCTCTCTGAAACACAAACAATCATTATTTTATATTTTCATGAGTTTTTAAATCAACATCTACATGACTCAGTTTCCATGGTAACACCTGAGGGTCTGACTAATCCCTGGAAGAATCATTACCATCCCATTATGCCTGTGTGTTGTAATCCTCAGTTTCACTTCTGTCAGCAGGTATCATAATGAACTATTATTACTTTTGTTTCACAGGAAAAGGCCGTGAGGGCGTCAGTACACGTATGACTCATCACCTGCTTCATTATCATATTAACATCTATCATGTTGTTATTTACCTTGTTGTTATTGACGCTGCTGCTCACTGTTTGTGTACTGTGATAAATCCAGCTGACACATGTGGATGAATACAGCAGCAGTGTGTGAAGATACAGAATAATAATAATAATAATAATAATAATAATATACTTTATTGTCCTTCACAGGAAATTTGTTGTTTCACTTTCGTTTCCTCACTTTGTTCAGTTTCCAAACTCCTCCCTGCTGATATAAAGAGCGTCAGCAGGCAGAGCGGACTGCACACACCCCGAGGATCAGCCTGTTCAGTCTGTAATTAATCAGTTAGTTCATTCAAGTTAAAGACGATAAAGACGAGACAGAGAAAGGAAGAAAGGAAGAAAGGAAGAACATGAGGCAAACAGCAAGAGGTTCACGTGAGTATATCTTCAGGACAAACATTAAACGCTGTGTCACTGTTTCTTCCATTTAAAGCTGTATTGTGTTTGTGTTACTAACAGTCCGAGGAAGAGGCAGCGAGCGGTGGAGAGCAACCCGAACAAACAGCCTCCAGCCGACCAGACGGGACCACATCAGGCAGGGCACAGGTAACGAATACAGCTGATAATGAACGGGCCTCAGCACACTCACTTTCACAACCACACCCTAAAATGGCCCCAATGTTCATACATCTCAGTGAAACCGAGAGACCCATATCTAAATATTTCACATTTCTGACACCAAGTTTCATGAGTTTCTGCAAGTTTAGACGAGCCTCAGCACACTCACTTTTACAACCACACCAATAATGGGGTGTGGCCACCAGCAGTCCTCACCTGAGAGCAGAGGGCAGGTGAGTCACCACAGGCCTGCAAACTCAGGTGAGTCACCACAGGCCTGCAAACTCAGGTGAGTCACCACAGGCCTGCAAACTCAGCTGTTTTAATTCTTCTGTGACGTTTCATAGACTATAAAACTGTGACGTCCATGTGTCGGGGGCCGGCGCAGCTCCAGCGCCAAAGTTATACCAACTTCCTGTTTCATGGCAAAACTTGATTTTAAACAACACAGACAAACACTCAGACGACATCTGGTCACGATTCATGTCCCGACCCAATTTCATACGTACCGCTGGGGCTGCTCTTTAGGGGGCGCTGTCGAGACTCCAATGAGCAAAACCAATACCACACGTACATCCACCAATGTCATAGTGGTCACTGCTCAGGCCTTAACAACAACAACAACACCAACAACAACAACAATAATAATAATAATAATAATAATAATAACAACAACAACAACAACAATAATAATAATAATAACAACAACAACAACAACAACAATAATAATAATAATAATAACAACAACAACAACAACAATAATAATAACAACAACAACAATAATAATAATAACAATAATAATAACAATAATAACAACAATAATAATAATGATAATAATAACAACAACAACAACAACAATAATAATAATAATAATCAAATAGGTGCAGACCCGACTATTTCCTGTCTTTTGTTCCAGTCGTGGGTGTAACTGTGTAATCATGTTAATGTGCCATCATTACATTATACACATTATACACACTGTGTGTTACATTATACACACTGTGTGTTACATTATACACACTGCGTGTTACATTATACACACTGTGTGTTACATTATACACATTATACACACTGTGTGTTACATTATACACACTGTGTGTTACATTATACACACTGTGTGTTACATTATACACATTATACACACTGTGTGTTACATTATACACACTGTGTGTTACATTATACACACTGCGTGTTACATTATACACACTGTGTGTTACATTATACACATTATACACACTGTGTGTTACATTATACACACTGTGTGTTACATTATACACACTGTGTGTTACATTATACACATTATACACACTGTGTGTTACATTATACACACTGTGTGTTACATTATACACATTATACACACTGTGTGTTACATTATACACACACTGTGTGTTACATTATACACATTATACACACTGTGTGTTACATTATACACACTGTGTGTTACATTATACACACTGTGTGTTACATTATAGACACTGTGTGTTACATTATACACACTGTGTGTTACATTATACACATTATACACACTGTGTGTTACATTATACACATTATACACACTGTGTGTTACATTATACACATTATACACACTGTGTGTTACATTATACACACTGTGTGTTACATTATACACATTATACACACTGTGTGTTACATTATACACACACTGTCTGTTACATTATACACACACTGTGTGTTACATTATACACATTATACACACTGTGTGTGACATTATACACATTATACACACTGTGTGTGACATTATACACATTATACACACTGTGTGTTACATTATACACATTATACACACTGTGTGTTACATTATACACACACTGTGTGTTACATTATACACATTATACACACTGCGTGTTACATTACACACACTGCGTGTTACATTACACACATTATACACACTGTGTGTGTGACATTATACACATTATACACACTGTGTGTGACATTATACACACTGTTACATTACACACACAGTGTGTGTTACATTATACACACTGTGTGTTACATTATACACACACACTGTGTGTTACATTATACACATCATACACACTGTGTGTGACATTATACACAGTGTGTAGTACATTATACACACTGTGTGTTACATTATACACACTGTGTGTGACATTATACACATTATACACACTGTGTGTTACATTACACACACACTGTGTGTTACATTATACACATTATACACACTGTGTGTTACATTATACACACACTGTGTGTTACATTATACACATTATACACACTGTGTGTTACATTATACACATTATACACACTGTGTGTTACATTACACACACAGTGTGTGTTACATTATACACACTGTGTGTTACATTATACACACACTGTGTGTTACATTATACACATTATACACACTGTGTGTTACATTATACACACTGTGTGTGACATTATACACACACTGCTCACTGACAGTGTGAACTGACTCTAACAGTCAGTGAGTGGGTTCACACTGACACACAGTGCCAACAGTGGGCAACACTAGCTAACATTAGCTTATAGATGGAGTCTGCTAACGGCTACAAACGACCAACACCCACCACAACACAGAGTCCACAACACAGAGTCCACAACACAGAGTCCAACACAGAGTCCACAACACAGAGTCCACAACACAGAGTCCACAACACAGAGTCCACAACACAGAGTCCAACACAGAGTCCACAACACAGAGTCCACAACACAGAGTCCAACACAGAGTCCACAACACAGAGTCCACAACACAGAGTCCACAACACAGAGTCCAACACAGAGTCCACAACACAGAGTCCACAACACAGAGTCCACAACACAGAGTCCAACACAGAGTCCACAACACAGAGTCCAACACAGAGTCCACAACACAGAGTCCACAACACAGAGTCCAACACAGAGTCCAACACAGAGTCCACAACACAGAGTCCAACACAGAGTCCAACACAGAGTCCACAACACAGAGTCCACAACACAGAGTCCACAACACAGAGTCCAACACAGAGTCCACAACACAGAGTCCAACACAGAGTCCACAACACAGAGTCCACAACACAGAGTCCAACACAGAGTCCAACACAGAGTCCACAACACAGAGTCCACCACAGAGTCCAACACAGAGTCCAACACAGAGTCCAACACAGAGTCCACAACACAGAGTCCAACACAGAGTCCAACACAGAGTCCACAACACAGAGTCCAACACAGAGTCCACAACACAGAGTCCAACACAGAGTCCAACACAGAGTCCACACAGAGTCCACACAGAGTCCACAACACAGAGTCCAACACAGAGTCCAACACAGAGTCCAACACAGAGTCCACAACACAGAGTCCAACACAGAGTCCACAACACAGAGTCCAACACACAGAGTCCAACACAGAGTCCAACACAGAGTCCACAACACAGAGTCCACAACACAGAGTCCAACACAGAGTCCACAACACAGAGTCCACAACACAGAGTCCACACAGAGTCCACAACACAGAGTCCAACACAGAGTCCAACACAGAGTCCAACACAGAGTCCACCACAGAGTCCACAACACAGAGTCCAACACAGAGTCCAACACAGAGTCCACAACACAGAGTCCACAACACAGAGTCCACAACACAAAGTCAAAGCTAACATTACTGCTAAGCTAGTGGAACATATTGTCTGATTGTAACATAAGAGCTGTTTTTAAACTTTTGTTTTTCAACGGTTCCACCTACAGCCGCTAAATTGGTATAATAAGTTCTCCAAAGACTGAACAGTTTGCAGTATCTACTGGAAGGACTCAGACACAGTTAGTAGAGAGAGCGCTCATGTGAAGGAAGACATTGTGTCGACATGATAATGATACTGTGTTTCTTACATTTAAAGCTGTATTGTGTTTGTGTTACTAACAGTCCGAGGAAGAGGCAGCGAGCGGTGGAGAGCAACCCGAACAAACAGCCTCCAGCCGACCAGACGGGACCACATCAGGCAGGGCACAGGTAACGAATACAGCTGATAATGAACGGGCCTCAGCACACTCACTTTCACAACCACACCCTAAAATGGCCCCAATGTTCATACATCTCAGTGAAACCGAGAGACCCATATCTAAATATTTCACATTTCTGACACCAAGTTTCATGAGTTTCTGCAAGTTTAGACCCCAAAAAGAGAAGCGACGTACTATCATCATCATCAACGTCTGAAGGCTTTCCTAACCTAGTTTCAGCTGGACCTGATCAACCTGCTAGGACTAGTAGCTTAACTCAAGTCTATCAGAAGAGTTCTCTAGGAGGAGTTTACATTAAGTACATTGTGTTTAAACTGCTACAGATGACTCTTATGTACACTCATACACTGTGATATCTGCCAGGGTTTAGCCTTCAATGGGTGGTGACCCCTACTGGCTACGGTAAGCGTACTGACTCATTCCCAGTTTCCTTCCTGCTCTGTGTACACTGTTTGGTGCTGTAGCTCTGTCAGTGAACGCTAAATCTAAATTTGTTTTACTCGTTACAGCGGTTATTTTCCAGCTTAACGAATAAACGTAGACTAGTTCTACCTAAACACTCGGAGTTACTCCTTCTTTTAGCAACTTTTCGCTATTTTCAAAAGTTTTTCATACACGCTAGTTTCATTAGCATTAGCAGTTAGCTATGGCTTCTCCCTCTCCCTCTCCTCTGTCCTGCTCAGTGTGTCAGATGTTCAGTTATTCCTCTGCCTCCTTTAATGATAATGGTTCTTGTATTAAGTGTAGTTTATTTACTGCGCTGGAGGCGAGGCTTAGTGAGTTAGAGGAACGGTACCGCACCACGGAGATATCTTTCGCCGCTATAGTTAGCCAGCCCCCAGTAACCGGTGCGAAGGTAGCTTCTGCTAGCCGTCCCCCAGTAGTTCCCCCGGTAGTTCCCCGGTAGTTCCTCCGGTAGTTCCTCTGGTAGTTCCCCCGGTAGTTCTCCCGGTAGTTCCTCCGGTAGATCCCCCGGTAGTTCCCCCGGTAGTTCCCCCGGTAGTTCCTCCAGTAGTTCCCCCGGTAGTTCCTCCAGTAGTTCCCCTGGTAGTTCCCGAGCAGCCGGGAAAACAGGGACAGTGGGTGACTGAGCGAACAAAGGCTGAACCAACCCATTCATGTTTCTAATAAATCTTCCCCACTCAGCGACACACCCGCTGAGGAACCAACTCTGGTTATTGGCAGGTCCATAGTCAGAAACGTGAAGTTAGCGAAGCCAGCGGCCATAGTTAAATGTATCCCTGGGGCCAGAGCGGGCGACATTGAATCAAATTTAAAACTGCTGACTAAAGATAAACGTAAATACAGTAAGATTGTTATCCACGTCGGCGGTAATGACACCCGATTACGCCAATCGGAGGTCACTAAGATTAATGTGGAGTCGGTGTGTAACTATGCTAAAACAATGTCGGACTCCGTAGTTTTCTCTGGACCCCTGCCCAATGTGACCAGTGATGACATGTATAGCCGCATGTCGTCATTCCACCGCTGGCTGTCGAGGTGGTGTCCAGAAAACGATGTGGGCTTCATTGATAACTGGAAGCCTTTTTGGGGAAAACCTGGTCTGATTAGGAGAGACGGCATCCATCCCACTTTGGATGGAGCGGCTCTCTTATCTAGAAATATGGCGAAGTTTATCTCTAAAACCTGACAGTCCAGAGTTAGGACCAGGAAGCAGAGCTGCTGTCTTACACACTTCTCTGCTCTTCCACTAGAACAGTCACCCAACCAAAACCCCATAGAGACTGTGTCTGTCCCCCGACCACCTAAATTATTTAAAGAAATAAAAACCTAATAAAAATTAAAACTAACTCCTCAGTAGCACAAAATAAGAGAATGAAATGTGGACTGTTAAATATCAGGTCTCTGTCCTCTAAAGCTGTTTTAGTGAATGAATTAATATCAGATTATGATATTGATTTACTTTGTCTTACTGAGACCTGGTTGTCCCACGAGGAGTATGTTAGCCTAAATGAATCCACCCCCCCCCAGTCATATTAATACTCACATTCCTCGAGGCACAGGCCGAGGAGGTGGAGCAGCAGCCATATATGATTCGAGCGTTTTAATGGACCCTAAACCTAAACTAAATTATAATTAATTTGAAAGCCTTGTTCTTAGTCTTTCTCACCCAAACTGGAAAACACTGCAGCCAGTTCTATTTGTTATAGTGTACCGCGCTCCTGGACCGTACTCTGATTTTATATCTGAATTCTCAGAGTTTTTATCAAGTTTAGTCCTCAAATCAGATAAAGTAATTATTGTAGGTGATTTTAATATTCATGTGGATGTTAACAATGACAGCCTTAGTAATGCATTTATATCATTCATAGACTCAATTGCCTTCTGTCAGAGTGTAAATAAACCAACTCATTGTTTTAATCACACTCTTGACCTTGTTTTATCATATGGCATTAATATTGAACATTTAATAGTCTTCCCACATAATCCTTTCCTATCTGACCATTATTTAATAACTTTTGAATTCATGTTGTTAGATTATAAGCCATTAGGCAAAACTTCCTACAGCAGATGTCTATCTGACAGTGCTGTAGCTAAATTTAAGGAGGAAATTCCTTCAGTGTTTAATTCAATGCCATGTCTGAATATAACAGAGTCCTATAACAACTTTAGTCCCTCTGAAATTGATAATCTTTTCGATAGTGCTGCAGGCTCACTACAAAGAACATTAGATTCTATCGCTCCTATAAAAAAGGAAATTATTAAAACATAGGAGACTAGCACCTTGGTATAACCACCAAACCCGCCAGTTAAAACAAATAGCTAGGAAATCTGAAAGGAAATGGTGCTCTTCCAAATTATCAGAATATCGCTCAATTTGGCATGATAATCTTAAAACTTATAGAAAGGCCCTCCGTAATGCCAGAGGAGCCTATTACTCAGCACTAATAGAAGAAAATAAGAATAACCCTAGGTTCCTCTTCAGCACTGTAGCCAGGCTGACAGAGAGTCACAGCTCTATTGAGCCACATATCCCCATAAACTTAAGTAGCAATGACTTCATGAGCTTCTTCTATAATAAAATTATTACTATTAGAGAGAAAATTAATCACCAACTGCCATCAACAGTTATCAGTGGCTCTCCAAGTTCAGGGACTTTAACTAATGTAAACTCAGATATATATTTAGACTGTTTTTCTGCTATCGATCTTCATCAGTTAACTTCAATCATTTCTTCATCAAAGCCATCAACCTGTCTGTTGGACCCAAACCCAACTAGGCTACTTAAAGAAGTCGTACCCTTAATTGGCACTTCTTTACTGGATATGATTAATCTTTCTTTATTATCAGGATATGTACCACAGTCCTTTAAAGTAGCTGTAATTAAACCCCTTCTTAAAAAGCCCACTCTTGACCCAGGGGTTTTAGCCAACTATAGACCGATTTCTAACCTCCCCTTCCTCTCTAAGATTCTGGAGAAAGTAGTCGCCAAAGAGTTGTGTGACTTTCTACATAACAATAGTTTATTTGAGGATTTTCAGTCAGGATTTAGAGTTCATCATAGCACAGAGACAGCTCTGGTTAAAGTTAATAATGACCTTCTGACTGCTTCTGACAATGGACTTGTCTCTGTACTTGTATTATTAGATCTTAGTGCTGCATTTGACACCATTGACCATAATATTCTTTTACAGAGACTTGAGCATCAAATTGGCATTAAAGGAACCGCACTAAGCTGGTTTAAGTCATATTTATCAGATCGCTCGCAGTTTGTACATGTTAACGATGAATCTTCAATAAATACTACAGTTAGTCATGGAGTTCCACAAGGTTCTGTTGTTGGACCAATACTATTTACTTTATATATGCTCCCTTTAGGCAACATTATTAAGAATCACTCCATTAACTTTCACTGTTATGCAGATGATACGCAGTTATATCTATCAATCAAGCCTAATGAAATTAATCAATTATCTAAATTACAAACATGTCTTAAGGACATAAAATCCTGGATGAGCTGCAATTTTCTGATGTTAAACTCAGAAAAAAACAAAATTCTTGTTCTTGGCCCCAAAAACCTTAGAGACTCACTGTCTAAAGATATAGTTACTCTAGATGCCATTACCTTGGCCTCTAGCACCACTGTCAGGAATCTTGGAGTTATCTTTGATCAGGATTTGTCATTTAACTCCCACATAAAGCAGACCTCTAGGACCGCCTTCTTTCATTTACGTAATATTAGAAAAATTAGACACATCCTATCACAGACAGATGCAGAAAAACTAATCCATGCATTTGTTACTTCAAGGCTGGATTACTGCAACTCTTTATTATCAGGTTGCCCCAATAAGTCCATTAAAACGCTCCAATTAATTCAGAACGCTGCAGCACGAGTACTGACAGGAACTAGAAAAAGAGATCACATCTCTCCTGTACTAGCTTCTCTGCACTGGCTCCCTGTAAAATTGAGGATTGTCCGGCTGGCTGTGTCTTTGCTGCACGGTGTGGGTCTGGTGTTGGTTGCTTCGTGGTGTTGGCTGATGGGTGATTTGTAAACGCCGTGCTAGTTAGTAGCATGGAGCTAATGGTCCAAATAAAATATAGGAACATTGCAAATAGTAACGGTATTAGGGCCCGTGAAAACACGTTTCACCTATGAGTATGAACAGTGGTACACATGTAGATCTTATCCAGATGAACAAAAAATCCAGTGGGCGCCATATCCCAAACCCAACAGGAAGTCGGCCATTAAGGATTTAGCGGTCATTTCTGGAGATTTGCACACGTTGTATTTGAACGAACTCCTCCTAGGGAATTTATCGGATCGACTTCAGATTTAGACACAGCCATCTAAAAACATTAACAATTAAAAGTTGTGCTATTTACTACATTCCGTCGAACGGCGTGCCCATGGCGTGGCGTGGAATTTTAACGATTTGCCATGAATGAGGGATTTGTCACAACTTCTGCGTACATGATCCGATCTCAATGAAACTTTACATGTTTGATAAGAGTCCCGCCCTGAACACGTCTATGTGATAATATTCAGTAATAGTGAGAGCGCCACCTATTGGTGAAGGAAATGTCATTTTTTTATACTTCCATGTTCTACTCCTAGCAGGATGATCAGATCTAGCTGAAATCTAGTCAGGAAATGCAAAACATGCTGTTGATGAGTGTACATGGTCCAATCGGAAATTCTGTCAGCGGTCCCTTAGGATGATGCCGATGACATTTTATGAATCTTACGTTTTTTCGAGGAACCATGTTGCCATGTCGACGTTGCGAAAATCAGCCTTTGTGTTACCATTGACCAGTTTTTGGGGGGCTAAACATGCCCGAAAACTCATGAAACTTTAAACAAATTCAGTCGTGGCAAAGGCTAAGGTATTGTCTTGGTCCTGTAGATGGGCGTCGCAAAATGGCTTAGCCACGCCCCGAAGAATCAGCCCCCTAAAAACGTAATACCGACGTATGAAAATCAGCACGCATGTGAATCATGATGGGAAAAGCAAAAAAGCCTCCTGGACCCATAACCCAAACCCAACAGGAAGTCGTCCATTTTGAATTCCGTGGTCATTTTCGCCGATTTGCATACGTTGTATTTGAACGAAATGCTCCTACGAAATTTATCGGATCAACTTCAACCCGTGGCCTAGCGTCCCATTTCGACGATTCGCCATGAAAAAGGAAGTAGTAATAACTTCAGTGTACATTGTCTGATCTTCAAACTTCACGTGTTTGATAGGAGTCCCACCCTGAACACGCCTACATGAAAATATTCAGATATAGTGATAGCGCCACCTACTGGCAACAGGAAGTAAGCGCTGCCTGCCGATTTTGATCTGATTTACGTGAAATTTTCATGTTGGGGTCCGCATGTGACGCGGCCGCAGCATGCCCCGAGTTGGGTGGAGTGCGAGGGCCCGTTCATTGCTGCTTGCAGCTTTAATTCTAAATATGTTATTTTGTAGCGTTTAGTGTTTGTCACTGTTGGCCGACGCCCAGGATGATGCAACAGGATGCTGCCTACAGTTCACTAAACGTCCACTGGTGGCGCTATTAGCTACAGTTTAATGAACATTACAAGGAGAAGCTTGAAAGAAGACGATCTTTTAACAAGATTCATCCTGAACTTTGAATCTCTTTTCTTCCACAGATGGGTACTCGGGAATACTTACAACTAAAAGACGCCTGTTGAAGATGGTCGTATCAACTCTGCAGCCCTTGGAAATCACAGAAGATCCAAACTTTAGAGATTTTGTAAAAGCACTACACCCCAGCTTTTCAATTCCTTCCAAATCTACGATGCAGTCACAGTTGCTCAGCGTCTACAATGAAATGGAAAGTGATTTGCGATCGAAGTTGGCCTCTGCTGATGACATTGTGCTGACATGTGAGTTGTGGTCTTCAGGAGCTGAAGACTCTCATCTGACAGTGGGTTGCCATTTTGTGGACTGCAACGGGAATCTCATGTCCTACACGCTCAAAACCACCAGCCTCTTCAGAGACGAATCTGCAGCCCACATTCAGACTCAGCTCTCAGCCATCATGGATGCTTGGCAAGTGAAAGAAAAGGTCCACTGGGTCGTCAGAGCTGGCATGCCACAACTGAAGAATGTCAAAGCACAATGGGGTCACATGCCTTGTTTTGCTGACTCCCTGAATGTGGTATTCAAAGGTCTCATGAGTGATAACGAGCTGTCAAATGTTGTCAGAAAGTCTCAAGACATCGTCAGGTTCTTTAAGAAGGATTCTGAAGCTGAGAGGAAACTCAGAGAGATTCAAAATGGGTTGAAATTTAAACAAGACAAGCTGATCTTGTACTCTGGGGACCGATGGCTCCCCAGTCTGCACATGCTTCAAAGGCTGATGGAGCAGTACCCGGCCATGATGATGGTGTTCGACGAGAGAGGCAAAACAGATTTGATTCTAAATGAAAGTGATAAAGAGAAAATCAAGAAGATCATATCGGCTCTGGAACCTCTGAGGGAAGTCATGTCCAGGATGAAAGAAAAAGGATTCCAGAGCATTTCAGCCGTGCTGCCACTACTAAAGATACTCATGGACAGTCTTAGAGAAGAAGCTAAATGCAATGATGTTGCCAAGACATTACTGTTAAAATGTAAAAAGGAATTTGGTGATGTCAACAACAACCCCTTTCTGGCTCCCATCATGTTCCTTGACCCGAGGTTCAAAAACCAGCTGGGAGACGAAAACAAAAGACAAGCGATGGATAAAATAAAGACGGAGCTCTCTGCTTTCTGCTCTGCCGCTGAACTCAATGAACTTGTGAACGAATACGTGGCCTACAAACCGAACTCGGAGGAGTCAAACCCTTTGGCCTGGTGGAGGCACACAGGAAAGGAGAAGTTTGGTAAATTAAGCAAGCTGGGTCTGCAGAAACTTGGGGTTGTCTCCACTGCGGTGCCTTTAGAGAGAGCTTTCTCCAGTGCAGGTGATCAGTTCTGCAGCTTGAGGAGCTCCATCGAGCCAGAAAACCTCAACATGATCCTGTTCCTCAACAGCAACTGGTCCTCGAAGACTTAGACACAAATCTATTGTTCTCTTTGAGTGGATAGAAATACACAGTCACAGTCACATTCATCTAGCAAAGACCCTCTGAACTCTGAGCATATTGATCCTGATTTTCACCATGTCAACCACATCACGACAACTCCCCTCCCTCTCCTTTCCCACCCTGAAACACTCATCCGCCTTAATCACCTCACGACTTGACTACCTCAACAGCATCCTTTACGGCAAGTCCACAAAAATCCTCAACAAACTACAATACATCCAAAACTTGACTAACCGACCACCCACTTCTGCACCAGAGACCACATAAACCCAGTCCTTTAAAACCTCCACTGGCTCCCAGTTCAACAAAGAATCCAGTTCGAAATTCTACTCAACACCTATAAAGCTGCAACATCAGGTCCATGGACGCCAACCTCCTCACCTGTCTCATTCTCCGGACCTGGGGGGCCAGGGCCTTCTCCATCTCCCTCCCTCAGGAACTCTCTCCCTCACTGCCCTCCTTTAAAACTCAAAACCACCTGTTTAAATCTGGATGTCAGAACTGGGTGCACTGATAAAATCTGATGTGGGCTATGTTGGTGTGGTTGTTGGACACCTTTTTGGTCCAGTTCAGGCACTGATACAATCTTCTCTATGTTGAACCGCCATGTTTCTACAGTAGCCCAGAACGGACAAACCAAACACTGGATCTAGATTTCCTGAGTTCCTGAATGCCCCACATTCACTTTATTTCCAGAAAGTCCCTCATTCAGTTGGTTTCCTGAACGCCCCACAACTGTTGGTTCAGGCTGTCACTCTGATCTGATCTGCATTCAGTGTCCTTTCTGTCCTTTGAGCAGCAAACAGGACAAAGTCAGAAACAGATTCAGTCGTTTTGCCGACAGTGAAACTGTTGAACACAGAGACAGGAGGACAATTTAACAGCAGTCTGTGCAGATAAACCGGTTCCTGTAACAAAGAGCACAAAATTATTTACACCAGTTTAAAACTGCAGCATGAAAAACCTCCTGCTAACCTCCTGCTAGCCTTCTGCTAACCTCCTGCTAACCTCCTGCTAGCCTTCTGCTAACCTTCTGCTAACCTCCTGCTAACCTCCTGCTAACCTTCTGCTAACCTCCTGCTAAGAAGGAGGTTCAGACCTGGTCAGAGAACTGGAATTACGCTGAAAGGCATTAATGCATTGATTAGTTACCCACACTGATCAGGTTTATTGAACTCTTTGTTTCCTCTGCTGTTGATGTGACAAATCATTTTATCATTATTTTTCATTAAGATTTAAATGAAATGTCTGATTTAAATATAAAATGACTTTAACACATTAATGTCTGTACTGATCCACTGACTGAAGCTCATTTATATGGAAATTCTGCCATCTTGATCCTGGTGGAGCCTCCTGCCATGGTCCTGCTTGACTGCCATTGCTAATATCACTGATATTATTGTTTTTATTATTATAAGTTTTATTATAGCTACAGTTACTGTTGTTGCTCTTGTCACTTTTCATTGTCCCCAATCGTTGCTGTTGTCATGTTCATCATCATCAGTCACTACTATTAGTGTAGTTGTTGCTACTGTTGTTGCTGTGCACCTGTCTCTGTCTGTCTGTCTGTCTGTCTGTCTGTCTGTCTGTCTGTCTCTCTCTCTCTCTCTTACTCAAACTTGTCTAGACAGACAAGGTAGACCACCCACCTAGAGCCGAAGGATCTGTCCTAGGTTTCTGCCTTTTAACAGGCAGTTTTTCCTTGCCCTTGTCTCCAGGTTTCTCATGTTGGTACTGTTGGGTCTCTGTAAATAATGTTATAAGGAGTTCAGTCTAGACCTGCTCTATTTGAAAAGTGTCCTGAGATAACTTCTGTTATGAATTGGTGCTATACAAATAAAACTGAATTGAATTGAATTGTGGATGAAAGTGGAACTGCACTCATCATCAGCCACCAGCTGTCTGTGTTGTTTGAGAATGAACTAAATTAACATTTATACTCTTTTTTTCCTTTTTGATCCTTTTAATCAATTAAGTGTTCAGATCATTTCAAATTAGAAATATAATTCCTTTTGTTTATCTCAGTCGTCAATATTGTGACTATTTCAATATAATCATCTATAAAAGGTTGGGTTTGTTATGACAGTTAAATAATAAAATAATATTGTCCCTGAATGCCCCACAACTATATTTGTATATAAAGTTCATCATTATTATCATTATTTCTTTAAATGTTGTTTTAAAAAAGTGAAAAATATAAATTCCTGCCTAACGTAACCTAAATGACTTTTAGCCTCAAACCAAAAGGACATTTATTGTGTATTTATTGTTATTGGGGACCTAAATGCATCCTTTAATAATCAATGATCACTTTGTAATTAGTTATTAGTTATTAGGAGCAGATGTCAGGATATTTATCCTTTCAATTGAGATGTAAATAATAATTTTCTTTAATGTGGTTTTATTGTTTTTTTAGTGTTTGTAATAAAAGATTGTTCATTTTAAACTGACCTGCTTTGTTTGAAAAGTGTCCTCAAATAATTTCTGTTTAATAAATAAAACTGTTAATATGCAGACTGTGTGTGTTTCCTTCAGCCAACAGGGGGTGCCACCAGACTGATGTACAGCTGAAACACAATCCTCTAGTAGTATTATCATTTTAGAACATTTTGACTTACTTTAGTGATTTTATTTAAACATTTGTGACCTTTAAACTCTTTCTTTTGCACTAAACCTCTGGTCAAATGTTTATTTTATAATTACTTTAATCCTTAATATAATAATAATAATAATAATAATAATAACATAATACATAATGTTGTACAGTTGTGATGAATGGGGAAATTATATATTGTTATATATTATATTATAATTTATCTCATCTTCACCAAAATCAGGACATATCATATTTAGATTTCGGTTCATGTTTGGGTATCGTTAATCTGTAATTGGTTACTGAATTTAAGAAGGCGTGGCCCGATGCACTTAAAAAGGCCATAATATTATTATAATATAGGTCAGTGCTGTAGATACAGGTCAGAGGTCTGTACTTTCTATTTAATAATATTATAGTAACAGTAATCATATTTTTATTTTCAACTTGTGTTCTCCCATCATTTGACACTAATAGTCTTTTACTCTTTTTATTCTACGTCACTTCTTTCTGATTTTAATTAATTTTATTTGCATCATTGCCTCCTGAAATGTTTTTAACCCTGGTTCTGGCACTGTGTTACTTTGTTTTGAAAAGTGCTACCTAAATAGTTTTATTATTATTATTATTATTATTATTATTATTATTATTATTATTATTATTATTATTATTATTATTATTATTATTATTATTATTATTATGTGCAAACACTACTGACCTATTTTTGGATGGGCTGTTAAACATTTAGTCCCGCTGCTTAAATCAAACTCAGTAAACAATTCCTTACAATAAATCAACAGTCTCAAACTGTAATCTGATACAGGTACTAATTACCTTTTAAAAATGTAGTCTAATCTAATTATCACAAAATTAAAGTAACTTGATTTCTTTTAGATTACCACCGAATACGCAAATAAAAACAAGAAATATTAATAAGAAGTAAAGTTCATCTTTAAAACAAGAGTAATATAAAATATCACAAAGACTTTAGTGTCTTCTATAAAACAGAACACTGTGAAAATGTAATAGATTACAGTTACCTTTTTATTTATCCTGATAACTCTGGAAGCTCGATAGCAAAAACCAGTCTAAATATATATCTAAGTTTACATTAGTTAAAGTCCCTGAACTTGGAGAGCCACTGATAACTGTTGATGGCAGTTGGTGATTAATTTTCTCTCTAATAGTAATAATTTTATTATAGAAGAAGCTCATGAAGTCATTGCTACTTAAGTTTATGGGGATATGTGGCTCAATAGAGCTGTGACTCTCTGTCAGCCTGGCTACAGTGCTGAAGAGGAACCTAGGGTTATTCTTATTTTCTTCTATTTCTGGCGGGTTTGGTGGTTATACCACGGTGCTAGTCTCCTATGTTTTAATAATTTCCTTTTTATAGGAGCGATAGAGTCTAATGTTGATCGTAGTGAGCCTGTAGCACTATCGACAAGATTATCAATTTCAGAGGAACTAAAGTTGTTATAGGACTCTGTTAAATTCAGACATGGCATTGAATTAAACACTGAAGGAATCTCCTCCTTAAATTTAGCTACAGCACTGTCAGATAGACATCTGCTGTAGGAAGTTTTGCCTAATGGCTTATAATCTAATAGTATGAATTCAAAAGTTATTAAATAATGGTCAGATAGGAAAGGATTATGTGGGAAGACTATTAAATGTTCAATATCAATGCCATATGATAGAACAAGGTCAAGAGTGTGATTAAAACAATGAGTTGGTTTATTTACACTCTGACAGAAGCCAATTGAGTCTATTAATGATATAAATGCATTACTAAGGCTGTCATTGTCAACATCCACATGAATATTAAAATCACCTACAATAATTACTTTGGTGTAACATCATCAGATCATCCTATAAAGGTATGAGTACATTAGCATTGATTGCCGTTTCTTTTCCTACCTTTGAAAATGAAACATTTTCAAAAAACATCTTCAATTTCTCTTTTTATTTTCCTTCAGGGTGCAGTCATCAACCACAGGATGGTGGTTGTCAGAGACACTGCAGGTTTAACACACTGTTATATAAACTGTCAATGCTTCAAAGACACACACATGTATACTATATATATATATACATATATATGTATATATATGAATATTATATATATATATATATATATATATATGTATGTAGAAAGCGGTGGTGATAGATGTGGCCATACCAGCAGACGCCAACATCAGAAAGAAGGAACACGAAAAGGTTGAAAAGTACCAAGGGTTGAAAGAACAGCTGGAGCAGATGCAGAAGGTCAAAGCGAGCGTGATGCCCGTGGTAGTAGGAGCACTCGGGGCAGTGACCCCCAAACTGGGGGAGTGGCTCCAACAGATCCCAGGAACAACATCAGAAGCCTCAGTCCAGAAGAGCCCAGTCCTACGAACAGCTAAGATACTGCGCAGAAGCCTCAAACTCCCAGGCCTCTGGTAGAGGACCCGAGCTTGAGGATGACACAGATACTACCCCAAGAGGATGAGAGGGAAGTTTTTTTTTTTTATGTGTATATATATATATATATATATATACGTAAGTGAGTAAAGAAACACAAAGATCATTTTTAGTGGAACATTTTTTTATTGGTGAATTTATCAAACACAGATTCAAACAGTTTGTAACATTTTCTCTCAGTTTTGTCTTCAAAGTAAATCCAGTAAATGTATTTTTATTTTTTCTGCTCATGCAGCGCAGAAAGAAATGTCCTGAAGAGGCCCGACGACCTCTGACCCCTCGTTAGCTTTTCAGCCAATCAGATAAATGCATTCTTTAACTTTATAATAAGCATCCAATAAGAAAATATACAAAAACTGATTGTTTTGTCTTTCAGAGAAGAGAATATGCAGACGGATGTAAAAAACATTTTCCTCTCAGAGACGGCGAGACAGAGGGAGGTCTCACTCCCGCCAACAAAACCACAACTTTTTTCTTCCTTCAGCTTTTTTCTTACGCCACAAACAACAGATTCTACCCACACGAAAACCAACGAAGAAAAAGGATGAAGAACCCACTGAACTCATCAACAGAACCAGAAAGCACAGGACTACAGGGACCAGAATGCATTGTGCTGCAAGCAGGAACATAAAGGAGAAAAACAACAACAACAACAACAACAACAACAAACATCTGACTGATTCCTTCATATCTTATATGAATTTCTCTCATTTTTTAAACACAAACGTAAAAACAACCGTTGCTCTCTGAAAGAGTCCAAGTGCTACATCGTCACAGTGCCCTTCTTTTTATACTGCATTTCCCAGCATGCCCCTGCTCGTCCACACACAAGGACACGCCTCCCGTCTGTCAGCAGTGACGGACGGATGGTATGAAGAGATGAAGAGAAAAAAAAAACGTCTTCTCGACCACACGGTGTCGCTGTTTCCCCAGAAAACAATCAGTCTCTAAAATTCAGCACCAGAGGGAAAAAGGCCATTTTTGATTGATTTTGTTTTGCGCATTAACATTCGTTTTTATTTTTACAACAAAACACAATTTAGAAAATAAATGTTGTGACTCCTCCCCTTCGCGTAACCCCGCCCTCTTGTAGCAGACGTGGGCGGGGCCTAGAGGATCTCCTGTAGCTGCTGTATGACCGATAGAAAAGTTTAGTCTTTGGCAGATTTACAGAAACGAGGGCTTCAGGTGGGCGAGAGACAAAGGGAACGAATGAGAGAGAGAGAGAGAGAGTTTATTTTTATATTAAAGATGATGATGAAGATGAAGATGATGATTACAGTCACAGAAATGAGCCACAAAGTTAATGAGTTATCAGAAAGTTAATCTTCTGCTTCATCAACAATTCATCCTGTTTTATTTTAAAATTAGGATTTGAGTCGTTTTCAAATCACAGCTGAGATTTTACAGAGAACTTAATAATTAATAATTAATAATTAATTAGTTTAAGAAGCTGTACAAGAGTTTAGTTACTCTCTTTGTTCTGATACTCAGTCTGTCATTGATCTAAAGCTACATTAGCTTATCTGATCAATCAGCATGTTTCATTGATCTTTAATCAATTAGCTCCTCCCACCAGTGTTTAAAGCTACATTAGCTCCTCCCACCAGTGTTTAAAGCTACATTAGCTCCTCCCACCAGTGTGTAAAGCTATGTTAGCTCCTCCCACCAGTGTTTAAAGCTATGTTAGCTCCTCCCACCAGTGTTTAAAGCTACGGTAGCTCCTCCCACCAGTGTTTAAAGCTACGTTAGCTCCTCCCACCAGTGTTTAAAGCTACATTAGCTCCTCCCACCAGTGTTTAAAGCTACGTTAGCTCCTCCCACCAATGTGTAAAGCTATGTTAGCTCCTCCCACCAGTGTTTAAAGCTACATTAGCTCCTCCCACCAGTGTGTAAAGCTATGTTAGCTCCTCCCACCAGTGTTTAAAGCTACATTAGCTCCTCCCACCAGTGTGTAAAGCTATGTTAGCTCCTCCCACCAGTGTTTAAAGCTACGTTAGCTCCTCCCACCAGTGTTTAAAGCTACATTAGCTCCTCCCACCAGTGTTTAAAGCTACGTTAGCTCCTCCCACCAGTGTTTAAAACTATGTTAGCTCCTCCCACCAGTGTGTAAAGCTATGTTAGCTCCTCCCACCAGTGTTTAAAGCTACGTTAGCTCCTCCCACCAGTGTTTAAAGCTACGTTAGCTCCTCCCACCAGTGTTAGCGTTGGTAGCCACAGACCTCAGAGTACTTTGAGTAATAATATTTAGTATCTTCTACATTTACAGTTAAAAAATGAAAAGAATCTCAGTGTTTGAATAAACTGTTTAAAAGAATCACTTCACTTATTTTGTACAGCTGTTGGCAAATTGATTAATAGTCTATAATCAATGGATATATTGATTGATAATGAAAATAATCCTAAAGTTGCTTTAGTCAAAATTACACAAAAATAATATATGTAATAAAAATATGAGACAATCTGCTCAGATATGGATCCTGGATCTCTCTGAACCAATCAGAGTTCAGTTCTGTGAGTGTAACCATCAGGAGGTCTGGAGGTGAAGGTGAGATGTTTCCAGGACAAACAGAGAGTCTGTTTCTGCTGGTCTTCCCTCAGACCGGATCCTGATGGAGTCCAGATCACAATCAGCCCGATGAGTTCAGACTGCAGCCGGACTCCACTGACTCCTCTGGGATCAATATTCAACCCTTCACTCAGAACCTGGAAGGATGTTTGAGTGAGCGGAAACAATGTCTTTACCTGATCGATTGGTCTGATACTTTTCAGATATTTCCTGATTTAAATGATCGTTTATTGAGTTTTTATTGATTTGATATTAAGTCTGAGATCTCGCACAAAAAGACCAAATCAGTGAGTTTGTAAGTTTTAGCTGCTTAACTCTAAATTATGTTTATTTCTAAAACCTCTAAAAAGTCACAAAAGCTATTGTAGATTTTAGATCATTCAAGTGATTAATGTCGTGAATAAGAGAATAACCTCTTTGCAATATATTGAGCCAGATATTGGAAGTACAGGCAGCCATTGAGTTAATGAACTTAACTGAACAAGGAGACTGTTGAAACGTGCTTTTGTTGTATAATCACAGACAACATTAACTCTATCTTTATTGTTGTCCTAAAACCCTGAACCGAGTTTGCAGTTTGCAACAAAGTCAAAGGGTTTTTGGTTAGATGTCTGAAATACGGTCTGTGGTTCACACAAGCTTACGATATTTTCACGTTTTCTTCTACGTCATAAACCCGTCAGTAAACTCCACCTGTCAATGTCGAAGCTTCTACGTGTCTAAAGGAGACTACAAAGGTTGTAGTGACATTAAAACAGAGACGGATCTGCTCGCTTGTCCGTCTTTAAAGCCTTGTTGTGTTTATGCTCTCTCAAACTATTCTAACTTATCTTTAAAGCTACGTTAGCTCGTAGCTTTAAAGATAGAAGAAATCATAAAGTGAAGGTTGTCAATGGCGCAATCTCATTGGCTTTTTGTGGAAGGAACCAGGAAGTTAACTTCAGGTTTCATCACTACAGAACTTATTTTATATTTTGTTCACATATGATCAGAGTAGATCTTTATCGTGTGTGCACCAAATAATAACAATGAATAACTATTAATAATTAATAACAATGAATAACTATTAACAACAATTAATAACTATTAATAATCATTAATAACTGTTACTTTGGGGTCTCTGCTGATTTGTAGCGTCAACGTTAAATTGCTGAAATGGTCCTTTAAGTTTGGTTTATTTCTTCCAGTTTTAAAAAAGGCTTTTGTAGAAAATGTATTTGTAGTTTTTTATTTCATTATTTTGGCAGCAGAATTCAAATCTGCATGAGATGGATTTTATATTAATGTTTAAATATGAATAATGCAGGTGATTATTTGATGTATCAGTCTAACGTGGGAGTCAATGGAGTCCCAGCGAACCTCCAACCAGCAGGCTCCTCCCACCGCTGACCTCAGCCTCCTCTGATTGGCTGAGTGTCGTTCAGAGGTCAGAGAGAGGGAGCTGGATTTGTTTCCTGCCTCGGGCCGGTCGACGGGAGGAGGACGGAGCTCGGCCCCACCGGAAGAAGAACAGGAGAAGAGGAGGAGCAGCAGCAGGAGGAGGAGGTGCTATGAGGAGGCGAAGAGGAGGATGAGGAAGAGGGCGAGCAACATGGCGGACAGCAGGGAGAGGCGGGGCAGAGCGAGGCTGCAGCCACCGGTAGTGTCGTCTGTCAGGAAAGGCTCCGGCGACTCGTACACTGAGTCATCTGAAAGACAGAGACAGGAAGTGACATCATCCAGACGAGACCAAAGAAGAAGAAAATTATTTTATAAAATATAAAATATATTTATTATATTCTATATATATTTATTTATGATGACATCAGCTCTGAAGGAGACTTTAATGCTCATTAAAACATAATCGCTCTGCTTATTTCCCCATGAGGCTTTGTTAGTGCGTCTATGGCAAAGCCTCATGGGAGATGTAGTTGTTAAACACTAACAAAGTAACAGGATGAGGTCTCCAGAGCAGCACAACATCGTTTCCCTCCAGAGTTTCGTTCCCCGTTCAGCAGCTGCAGACACACGGCGAGAGTTTCTACGGAGCTACGGAGCGATCAATAAACCAGATACACTGATGGATCGATAATGGATCGATAATGGAAAGGTAGAGCCGAAGAACTTATATTTCTGTTTGGAGTTTAATTCAAATACTTTTATTAAGAAGCCCGACTACAAAATGTCTGAACTGAGGAGCTGCTTCCAGATGTTTATTAAATGATATAATAAATATAATAAATTATTACTATTATTATTAACAATAAATTATTATAATAATAACAATTATTATTATTATTAACAATTATTATTATTATTAACAATTATTATAATAATAACAATTATTATTATTATTAACAATAAATTATTATTATTATTATTAACAATCAATTATTATTATTATTAACAATTATTATAATAATAACAATTATTATTATTATTAACAATCAATTATTATTATTATTATTAACAATCAATTATTATTATTATTAACAATTATTATAATAATAACAATTATTATTATTATTAACAATAAATTATTATTACTATTAACAATTATTATAATAATAACAATTATTATTATTATTATTATTAACAATAAATTATTATTATTATTATTATTATTAACAATAAATTATTTACTGTAACTCTTCCAATAGAAGCCTGTCTCCTTTAGAAGCCTGCTGTGGCTCCATGTAGCAGGTCACTGCTTTAAGTGCTTTAGATCTCCACAGATATAAATGTTCTCCACAGTTCAACACATTCAACATATGGAAGCTTTCAATAAATATTATAATGCAGCTAAATTATTGTTTTATTTGAGTGAATAAGGACTCTTACTGTGAAAGAATCAGACTATTAAACCCTGCATGTGTCAGAGGGATTGTGGGAACATAACACTGAGTTTCAGCTGTAATATAATATTCACATTCAGTGTCTGACAGCTCTGCAGATAATCCTCGTCCTCATCCAGTAAACAGCGTCCTTCCTGCGGAGCGTCTACGTCTGATTGGTGGAAGCTGATTGGTCGCTGACGAGGATGAAGTTTAACACCTTCACTGTGGCAGCTGGGAGTCTTCACACATCCTCTTCTCCAAACTGACATTTACAGTTTCATATGAAGACATATTCTTCCTCCTGAGGACTCGCTTCTCCTCACTAACAACCAGATCAATAAGTAATAATCAGCTTCATGTGGACACCTGATCCAGCTCAAAGCGTCCTGAAGCTTTTAGACGGTCTGTTTAATAATGATGTGATTAATGTTAGCTAGCTTTTTTACAAACCATAACTCCGTTTCCATAGTAACACCTGACTAATACCTGGAAGAATCATTACCATCCCATTATGTGCTCATGCAATGGAAACGTTGTTCACTGCTCCAGGAAATAGGACGAACCTTAGATACGGAGATATTTCTGGCTGCAGACAGAAGGTCACCTGGTGGAGGAGGTCATCAACCGCGACCTCTGACCTCTGACCTCCTCCACACGACCTTCTTCAGTTTTATGATGTTAGACTACTTAAATATCTCAGCATGTTCAGCATTATGTGGAATAAACTCACTGGTTGGTTTGACGTAGATCTTCAGCTTCAGACACGGTTTCCCAGCCAGGTTTGGATGTGGAGACGCTGCAGAGACAACAAGCAGTACAAGTTCACTGGAGGACGTTCACTCATTCACTCATTATATATATATATATATTGTATTATTGTGTTTCACTCATTCACTCATTATATATATATATATATATATATTGTATTATTGTGTTTCACTCATTCACTCATTATATATATATGGTATTATTGTGTTTCACTCATTCACTCTCTCTATACATATATATATATATATATATGGTATTATTGTGTTTCACTCATTCACTCTTATTATATATATATATATATATATATATATATATATATGGTATTATTGTGTTTCACTAATTCACTCATTATATATATGGTATTATTGTGTATTATTGTGTTTCACTCATTCACTCACTATATACATATGGTATTATTGTGTTTCACTCATTCACTCATTATATGTATATGGTATTATTGTGTATTATTGTGTTTCACTCATTCACTCATTAAATATATATATATATGGTATTATTGTGTTTCACTAATTCACTCTTTATATATATGGTATTATTGTGTATAATTGTGTTTGACTCATTCACTCATATGTATATGGTATTATTGTGTATTATTGTGTTTCACTCATTCACTCATTATATGTGGTATAATTGTGTTTCACTCATTCACTCATTATATATATATGGTATTATTGTGTTTCACTCATTCACTCATTATATATATAAATATGGTATTATTGTGTTTCAGTCATTCACTCATTCTATATATATATGGTATTAACTCATTGTTTTAATCAAACTCTTGACCTTGTTCTATCATATGGCATTGATATTGAACATTTAATAGTCTTCCCACATAATCCTTTCCTATCTGACCATTATTTAATAACTTTTGAATTCATACTATTAGATTATAAGCCATTAGGCAAAACTTCCTACAGCAGATGTCTATCTGACAGTGCTGTAGCTGAATTTAAGGAGGAGATTCCTTCAGTGTTTAATTCAATGCCATGTCTGAATTTAACAGAGTCCTATAACAACTTTAGTCCCTCTGAAATTGATAATCTTGTCGATAGTGCTACAGGCTCACTACGATCAACATTAGACTCTATCGCTCCTATAAAAAGGAAATTATTAAAACATAGGAGAATAGCACCGTGGTACAACCACCAAACCCGCCAGTTAAAACAAATAGCTAGGAAATCTGAAAGGAAATAGCGCTCTTCCAAATTATCAGAATATCGCTCAATTTGGCAAGATAATCTTAAAACTTATAGAAAGGCCCTCCGTAATGCCAGAGGAGCCTATTACTCAGCACTAATAGAAGAAAATAAGAATAACCCTAGGTTCCTCTTCAGCACTGTAGCCAGGCTGACAGAGAGTCACAGCTCTATCGAGCCACATATCCCCATAAACTTAAGTAGCAATGACTTCATGAGCTTCTTCTATAATAAAATTATTACTATTAGAGAGAAAATTAATCACCAACTGCCATCAACAGTTATCAGTGGCTCTCCAAGTTCAGGGACTTCTGTCAATGTAAACTTAGATATATATTTAGACTGTTTTTCTGCTATCGATCTTCATCAGTTAACTTCAATCATTTCTACATCGAAGCCATCAACCTGTCTATTAGACCCCATCCCAACTAGACTGCTTAAAGAAGTTGTTCCCTTAATTGGCACTTCTTTACTGGATATGATTAATCTTTCTTTATTATCAGGATATGTACCACAGTCCTTTAAAGTAGCTGTAATTAAATCACAGTACACAGACAGCTCTGGTTAAAGTTAATAATGACCTTCTGATTGCTTCAGACAATGGACTCGTCTCTGTACATCTTAGTGCTGCATTTGACACCATTGACCACGATATTCTTTTACAGAGACTTGAGCATCAAATTGGCATTAAAGGAACCGCACTAAGCTGGTTTAAGTCATATTTATCAGATCGCTCGCAGTTTGTACATGTTAACGATGAATCTTCAATAAATACTACAGTTAGTCATGGAGTTCCACAAGGTTCTGTACTTGGACCAATACTATTTACTTTATATATGCTCCCTTTAGGCAACATTATTAGGAATCACTCCATTAACTTTCACTGTTATGCAGATGATACGCAGTTATATCTATCAATCAAGCCCGATGAAATTAATCAATTATCTGAATTGCAAACATGTCTTAAGGACATAAAATCCTGGATGACCTGCAATTTTCTGATGTTAAACTCAGAAAAAAACAAAATTCTTGTTCTTGGCCCCAAAAACCTTAGAGACTCACTGTCTAAAGATATAGTTACTCTAGATGGCATTAACTTGGCCTCTAGCACCACTGTCAGGAATCTCGTGTTTCACTCATTCACTCATTATATATATATGGTGTTATTGTGTTTCACTCATTCACTCATTATATATATATGGTATTATTGTGTTTCACTCATTCACTCATTTTATATATATATATATGGTATTATTGTGTTTCACTCATTCACTCATTATATATATGGTCTTATTGTGTTTCACTCATTCACTCATTATATATATATGGTATTATTGTGTTTCACTCGTTCACTCATTATATATATGGTATTATTGTGTATTATTGTGTTTAACTCATTCAATCATTATATGTGGTATTATTGTGTTTCACTCATTCACTCATTATATATATATATATGGTATTATTGTGTTTCAATCATTCACTCATTATATATATATGGTATTATTGTGTTTCGCTCATTCACTCATTATATATATATGGTATTATTGTGTTTCGCTCATTCACTCATTATATATATATATATGGTATTATTGTGTTTCACTCATTCACTCATTATATATATATATATGGTATTATTGTGTTTCACTCATTCACTCATTATATATATATGGTATTATTGTGTTTCGCTCATTCACTCATTATATATATATGGTATTATTGTGTTTCGCTCATTCACTCATTATATATATATATATGGTATTATTGTGTTTCACTCATTCACTCATTATATATATATATATGGTATTATTGTGTTTCACTCATTCACTCATTATATATATATGGTATTATTGTGTTTCGCTCATTCACTCATTATATATATATGGTATTATTGTGTTTCGCTCATTCACTCATTATATATATATATATGGTATTATTGTGTTTCACTCAATCATTCGTTATATATATGGTATTATTGTGTTTCACTCATTCACTCATTCACTCATTATATATATGGTATTATTGTGTTTCCCTCATATATGGTATTATTGTGTTTCACTCATTCACTCATTATATATATATGGTGTTATTGTGTTTCACTCATTCACTCATTATATATATATGGTATTATTGTGTTTCGCTCATTCACTCATTATATATATATGGTATTATTGTGTTTCGCTCATTCACTCATTATATATATATATATGGTATTATTGTGTTTCACTCATTCACTCATTATATATATATATATATGGTATTATTGTGTTTCACTCATTCACTCATTATATATATATGGTATTATTGTGTTTCGCTCATTCACTCATTATATATATATGGTATTATTGTGTTTCGCTCATTCACTCATTATATATATATATATGGTATTATTGTGTTTCACTCAATCATTCGTTATATATATGGTATTATTGTGTTTCACTCATTCACTCATTCACTCATTATATATATGGTATTATTGTGTTTCCCTCATATATGGTATTATTGTGTTTCACTCATTCACTCATTATATATATATGGTATTATTGTGTTTCACTCATTCACTCATTCACTCATTATATATATGGTATTATTGTGTTTCCCTCATATATGGTATTATTGTGTTTCACTCATTCACTCATTATATATATATATATATATATATATATATGGTATTATTGTGTATTATTGTGTTTCACTCATTCACTCATCATGTATATATGTTATTATCGTGTTTCACTCATTCACTCATTTTATATATAAAAACATACGTAAATAAAAGGTGATGAGTTCAATGTCCTCTTCTTCCTGAGCTCCCTGTGGTGACAGTCACCTGACTGAAGCCCCGCCCTCCAGGTGTTTATTATTACAAGCCTCATCGTCCCAGCAGGGACACACCGGGCTGGAAAACAAGCTCCCCCTCACTACGTCTCTGTGGACGCCATTAACAAATATCTGAATCCCAGAGACAGCGCGAGTAGTACTCAGTGTGTAGTACTCAGCGCGAGTAGTACTCAGTGTGTAGCTCTCAGTGTGTAGCTCTGAGTGTGTAGTACTCAGTGTGTAGCTCTCAGTGTGTAGTACTCAGCGCGAGTAGTACTCAGTGTGTAGCTCTCAGTGTGTAGCTCTGAGTGTGTAGCTCTCAGTGTGTAGTACTCAGTGTGTAGCTCTCAGTGTGTAGTACTCAGCGCGAGTAGTACTCAGTGTGTAGCTCTCAGTGTGTAGCTCTGAGTGTGTAGCTCTCAGTGTGTAGTACTCAGTGTGTAGTACTCAGTGTGTAGCTCTCAGTGTGTAGCTCTCAGTGTGTAGCTCTCAGTGTGTAGCTCTCTGTGTGTAGCTCTCAGTGTGTAGCTCTCAGTGTGTAGCACTTACAGATGTAGTAGTACTCGTGTCCGGGTCTGAACTCGAAGCCCAGGCTGAAAGGAGTGAAGAGCTGGAACTTCTCGGAGAACTTGAGTGGTCCGTTGGGGCTCTGCGGCCGGTTGCACTCCCAGCGTTTGAAGCCCTTCCTGTGGTGGTCGCAGGTTGTGTAGCCGTCGTAGGTCACCATGTACAACACGTAGTGCTCCATGCGCTCGGCGGACTCCGCCACCTCGTAGTGCGGACAGTAGATGTCCAGGTAGTCGTTGATCGCCACCTCCACCGTGTACTCGCCTCGAAAGAACCTGAGGAGGAGAAATTATGTCATTTCCTGTTTCTTACAGCGGATAGTTGTCGAACAGCCCTAGCAACCACATAGCAACCAGCAGGAAACAGACACAGCATCAATCTACAATTAGCAGGTATCATAGAAAAGCAGCTGTAAGCAACCGGCTGGTTCCTGGTTTCCATTATTCTCCCTCTGACTCCCACACATGGAAACCATTGATCTCTGCCTCTCTCTCTCTGTGTGTGTGTGTGTGTGTGTGTGTGTTTCCCTACAACCCCCTGAGGCTTCAATTAATCAAAGCTAACTGTTTATCGGAGCGTCGTCGTGTTTACAGAAAGGAGATCTCACTCACTTCCTGTTTGCTCCCAGCGTTCACAGATGCTGTTAAATAAAGTTTTTCAAGGTCTGAACTGGAGTTCTGAGTGTTCAGATGATAAAACACAACTGATGCAACCATACATCGAAATACAGCAGTTTGACCACCAGGGGGCATACTATAGGGACATCAGGGGGAGACAATGGGCCTCAAATTCACTTCAGTGACACTTTTCAGCCTGATGAGCGTCACCTGTTCAGGTGTTTGACAGTGCATCATTAGTGTAATTAACAGTCCTATAATTAACAGATAAAACTGCAGAAGTTGAAGCTGTGACAGAAATACAGAATGATTTAACAAGTCAGACATTAAAAAAGTCTTTATAAAGCAGAGCTGTATAATATGAGAGGAGGTCATGTGTCCGACACTGGATGATATCACAGCCTACAGGTGAGTCACACCTGTCCAACTCCTAAAATACGGCCGCTGGGTCTGTACCTCTGTACGGTCTGTATGGTCTGTACCTCTGTACGGTCTGTACCTCTGTACGTCTGTATGGTCTGTACCTCTGTACCTCTGTAAGTCTGTACCTCTGTACGAGTGTGCATGTGCACTGATTGACAAAATACTGACAAATTAGCAACAGTTAATATATTAATAACTTAAGTTAAACAGTCGCACTTTGATTAAGTTTGGGCACTGGCTTTTATTGCCTTTATGATAGTGACAGCTGAAGATAGACAGGAAAGGGGGGCAAAGAGAGGGGATGACACGCAGCAAAAGGTCGCAGGTTGGATTCGAACCCTGAGCCGCTGCAGCAAGGACTCAGCCTCAGTACATGGGTCGCCAGCTCTACCCACTGAGCTAATAGGGCACCCGGGGCACTGGTTTTTTAAGATAGTGGTTTGGGTTTTGGGTATATAAACTTAATATACTTTCATAATTTATGTTACATAACTTACAAAAGTTATCTTACATAAGTTTGAGGTCGAGACAGACGACCACCCACCTAGAGCCGGAGGATCTGTCCTAGGTTTCTGCCTTTTAACAGGCAGTGTTTCCTTGCCCCTGTCTCCAAGGTCTTGCTCATGGTGGTACTGTTGGGTCTCTGTAATTAATGTTATAAAGAGTTCGGTCTAGAGCTGCTCTACTTGAAAAGTGTCCTGAGATAACTTCTGTTATGAATTGGCGCTATACAAATAAAATTGAATTGAATTGAATTAAGTTATGAATAACATGCATAATGTAACTTAAAATAACTCATCTTTAATATAAGTTAAAATAAGTTTGCAATGTTTGTAAAATAATGTTAAAATCGTCATATAAGTAACTTAAGTCAACATTGACTCGTGTTTGTAGCCAGTTAATTAGTCAGTAACTGTTAACGTTATCCATCATCCATCGTATCGATCAGTCACGATTAGTTTCAGTGAAGTTGTAAGTTATTTATTCCGTGTGTTGAACAAGCAGACTGTGTGATGTTACACTGTGTTGGAATAAATGAACTAAAGGTTCAGTCTCCTTGTTGGTTGTTCTGATTCACAATCATTACCACCGTTTCTGATCAATACAGTAATATCAGAAACAGATATACACATTATAATCAGTGATATCAGAAATGATCAACGACTAGTCCACAAGGAAAATCTTTAGAGCTAATAAAATGAGTTTTATCCGGTCCTCCATCTTTTTCTGTCTCCAGCTGTTTAAGACATAAACATGTGAAACACGTCAGAGTGAGAATCAGTAAAGTGTTTTTATTTCTTGGTCCTCCCAGCTGCTCCGTCACACTGTTGCTGTAATTTACATAATTTAATTTAGCACAAACACACTGAGTCTCACCTCCTGATTGGAAATGATCATTATTCAACGATCGATCAACAAACTAATCAAACTTTATGTGTCTCTGAATATTTAACAATGGGGGGGGGGGGCAGTCCGTCCAATCAACAGAGCTAATTTGGGTTTTGGTAATGAGGTTTGAACTGACTGATTTGGTTTCTCACAGTCCGTCCTGATTGGCTGAGCAGTCCTGGTTAATCACAGCTCGTCGAGTGTTGTGATGAGATGATTCACATGTTTACTGGTCTTAAATTAAGATTCTGCTGCATCCGTTTACATTTACACTTTCCTGTCTTTCTTTTCAGTGACGCTTCCTGATAGTACAGAGCAGTTATTTTTGCCACAAATGGCTCTCCGTATAATTGAGTTATCTTAACGACTTTAAACACTTTAAGTTTCCCTCCACAGTCTGTTGCTTTGAGTTGCTGAAGCACAGCGATGATTATTCCCGTCTGACCTGAACGCAGCATCGTTGTCCTGATGGAGGTCGATGGGATCAGCTGAATGAAAACCATCCTGATGGTGTTTCTCCTCCGCCGCGCCCTCTTTGTCTACGCTAACACCATTAGCAAAGTGCAGGCTAACTCAGTTAGCTGAAGGATTGGGTGACGCTAACAGCTGAGAGAGCAGGCGCTGCGTTCATGGTGAACTCTGTCCCCTCAGCTCTCACATCATTACTCATCACTGTAATGGAGAGAGGCTCTCTGTCCGTCCCAGCAGGCCGAGGGACCGCAGGGTTCATCATCATCATCCTCATTTAGCCCGAGAGCCTCCTCACAGTGAGTCAGTGTTACTTCCTCTAGCAGGGCGCTGTCTGAGGCCGAGGACTTCCCGGTGGCTGGTTCCAGGGTTGAGGTGTAAAGTGTAAACAGGAGTGGGCCCACTGTGGTTCCCTGGGGTGCACCACCGCTGCTCATCACCCCCAATACAAGCAACCCTTATTCTCATTGTCTGACAGCGGTATGGAAAGGATCCCTACAGAGATAGACCTTTAGTTTAACCACAAACAGCCGTAATATCACTATCACTCTCCAACAGACTCCAGAGACACAAACACTCATTTTACTAAAACCAGAGTTGGTGATTGTTGGAAAGACCAACAGAGTTTTATTTGTTTTTTGTCCCATTGATTCAGAGACTCATCCAGTGTAATGTATAACCTTTAATTACATTACACTGTTATATCTACCTACTTACTCTGTACTACCTCTGATTGTCTTTAATGTGATATTTCTGCCCCTGAACCCAGCAGGGGACAGACGTTCACCTTCCACCATCTTTCCTTTGGTCCAGAATTTAGTTTTAGACTTTGAATTGAATATCGACTTTAATTAGATAATTGACTGTATCAGGAAGCAACAATTAATTCTGACAACAAACAATAATAATTTTTCTCTTTTAATAAAAATGAAAACTAACATCCCTGTTTGTAAAGCTGCTGCACCACCTGAACCCCGTCCTCAGTCCGGGTCCACAGTGGGCAGATATGAACTGTAATCTGTCAGCAGGTCCCTTTTCTGCTCAGGAAGACTGACGAATGACCTCGACCTGCCCTGTCCACGCCGGATCTGCATCTAATGCACCTGACCTTCAGAGACCTGCACAGATTAAACAGTAAATCACACCGCGGCATGCTGGGAGCTGGTGCAGACGGTGAAATATGTCTCCTTTCTGGAGAGATTCACAGATTCGCTGCAGCTAAACTGAAAAACGTGAGCAAAGCGAACGTGAGAATGTGGCCGGCGGACACGTCAAGCTTCTTTCAGCGGACGTCCAATCAACTTCTGCTGAGTCATCAATTAAAGCGCCGACAGGAGGACGTGAGAGAGTCTCTTCTGATACTTTATACTGCTGTTTATTACAGCTTTAGTAACAGTAAAATATATCACACACATTAATGCATCCCATAATAACAGTAATAAAACACTCACAGGAGCCCTGCTAGATGAGCATTATTACTTTTACTGTTACTTATTTAGCTGATAGTAATTCTTCACTTTTACTTGTTTTTAAAGGTTAAATTCACTTTTCACTGGACAGAAACGGAATAAAACCCATTAAACTGTCTCTGTTAGTGTTTCCAACAATCACCAATCAGCAGTTTCAGTCGGAGCAGACCGGCTATGGAAACAAACCACAGAGAGGCTGCGATACAACACAGGCAGAGGGAGAGAGACACCATGTGACTCTGTGTCCAAACAGTGGATGATAAACAGTCAGTGTATGACAGCTTCTGATTATTGATTATATATAGTTTATACACTGTTTAATGATTTTAGATTACAGATTATAGATGTTGTTAATGTTATATATATTTTATGTGAAGCTCTTTGTGAACAGTTACTGAATGAAGTCTATCAGCAGATTTTCCCACAGCTTTATTATTTCTGTCCACAGTCACATGATCGATGCCCTCTGGAGATACTCTGCAGCCCATTGTGTCACTGTGTGTGTGTGTGTGTTAATGATACCCGACTCTGTCCTGACAGGTTCAGCTACAATACCCACAGTGTTTCCTTCAGGTTCAGACAAGAAGCTACAAGCTACGAGACAAAACTATCTGATCTGACGCCTGTAAACATGATCCTACCACACACTCACACACACACACACACACACACACACTCTCTCTCTCTCTCTCTCTCTCTCTCTCTCTTTTTTCTTCTCTCTCTCTCTCCACACACACACACACACACACACACACACACACACACACACACACACACACACACACACTCTCTCTCTCTCTCTCTCTCTCTCTCTCTCTCTCTCTCTCTTTTTCTCTTCTCTCTCTCTCTCTCTCTCTCTCCCACACACACACACACACACACACACACACACACACACACACACACACA